TTAATTACTAGAGTCCGTAATCTTTCTCCTCCCAAACATGGAGTACATCCATTTTTTTCTTCCAAACATCATACATATACAATGTATTAAAACACAGTTATGTTCAATGACGACCAATAAGAGATTAGTTTCAATTCACCTAATCCTCATGCAATTTCTACAATAAACAAAACTATCCTCCATCGATAGCCCCAAAACAGATATTTCTAAACAGACATGCAATCTCCAAAATAGATAAATTATCTAAATATCCATAGGTAAGAGGTAATATATATCCAACTCCACCATTTATATAAACATCTATTCAATTCACCTTCCCAAAGCCAATTCCATTATTTATGCAAAATAATTATTTGAAACATTTTAGGGCAAAACTCCATTTCCTTCCAAAATCCAATCCACGTGTCAAACACAACAAATTTAACATAACGCATCCTCATATCTACACCCGTAATCATTTTCAATACTTTCATTTGAAAACCCCTCTTTTGATTTTAAACCAAAATCCTAGGTTTGTCTAAAATCCTCCAAATCCCAACATTATTTACACAACAACAAATAGCTAAGTTAAAAATTATAGAAGAGTGTAAAAAGTCCTTACCTCAAGCTTAAAAGACCAAGGAAGAAATGGAGGAACTTCAAATACGCCGAAACCAAGATCTATTAGGATCAAAACGTAGCCCTTGAGGTGCTTTATCTTTTTAACAAAGGCACATGGGTAGAGAAACCACTAGATCTGATTGAAAATGTAGAGAGAATGTGAGTTTTAGAGAGAGATTCTCTAAATCTAGGATTTTGAGAGAAAAAAGATATGAAAAAGTGATGTAGAAAGGTGCCGCTATGAATTGATATATGCACAGTCTGCTCGAGTGCAAGAAGTGATGCTCTAGCGTTAGACACAATAAGTTGGGTCCGCTTAAGTGCAAGAAGTGACGCTTGAGTGCCGAGACACAATGGAAAGGACGACACCGCTCGGGTGCAAGAAGTGACGCTCGAGCGCAAAATACACACTCCCAGTAGTTTTGCAGACAATAGACCAACGCTCAAGCGCAAGAAAGGCCGCTCGAGCTGAGCCCACTTGAGCCCAGAAAAAACCGTTCGAGCGTAGAATACATTCTCCCAGTAGTTTTGCAGACCTACAAAAGTACTGAGAGTTTGCAAATCCTGCTCGAGCGTAAGAAGTGCAGTTCGAGCGAAGGAGCAAAATTCTGGGCAACAAGAGTTTGGAAATCGAGCAAGCAACCTGTTCTAAACACAACCACAACAATCCAATAGCCAAATTTTGAGGAAATACAAGGGAAGTGAAATGTGAGCAACACTACGAAACCATAAAATCCGAGTCCAAGATACAAAAGGGTCGGGTTAAATCCAGAATCGCTATACATTTGATCATGAATTTTGAATCTTATTTCAAAAAGGACAATTGAAAATACCATTGCTCAATTTCAAGGGTAAACTCATCAATTTGATAAAATATAAACTAATTTGACAAAAATAATTGTCAAAAAAATATTTTTAAAATTTTAAAAATTATTTTTACCCACTAAAGATAAAATTATGTAAAATTGATAAATCTTTTATACATTTATTTATTTAGTTATTTTACCAAATTAATTTTTATTATCTGTTTGGATGATGATCATGTAATGGGTGATTGTTAGACTTTTAATGTGTAATCAATATATTTAGTGGTTGTTTGGCATGTGCTAAAATAGCACATGCTATTTTAGCACATTATTCTATTTAGGTCACAATCATCTTATTTAAGTCACATCATCTCTCTATTACATCACTTCAAACCTAACCCATATTTCACGTTTTTTTCCATAAAAAGTCAAAAAGTATACTAATCTAGCACTTCCCAAACTATCCCTTAATATATGAAATATTTTTAGTTTTAGATTTTTTGATTTAATGGATTAGTTTAATAATAATATCAAAGTTGTCACTATATTTGACTTTTGAAAAAATAGAAACTAATTTAATAAAAATAAAAACAACCACTCATTATATGATCATCATCCAAACACATAATAAAAATTAATTTGGTAAAATAAAAAAAATAAATGTGTAAAAGATTTATCAATTTTACATAATTTTATCTTTGGTGGGTAGAAATAATTTTTAAAAATTTAAAAATATTTTTTTGATATTTATTTTTATCAAATTAGTTTATATTTTATCAAATTGAAGATTTTGCCATTGAAATTGAGCAATGATATATTTAATTATCCTTATTTGGAACAAGATTCAAAATTCAGGGTCAAATATGTCACAATTGAAAAGTCAAGAATCAAAGTGACATAAGTTTTAAACAATAGGGACCATTAGTTTAATTCGCACTTTTCATTATAATCATTGGAAAAATTATTTTCTTGAATAATTGATTTATTATGGTTGGAAGAATGTGATGGTAGATGATTTTAAGAAGATAAAAAGTTAAATCAATTACTTTGGATGACTTAGTTCGATTGAAATAATCTATTTTTATTTATTTATTTGGATAGTATTTATTTATTTTAAAGGATTGAGTTTTGCTACAATTGTACTCCACAATCAGTACTAGTTAATTGACCAAATATAATGAAAATCTATTAAAAATTATTTTTAGAAGAAAGATTTAAATTAAAAAATAACATAAGTTATCAAAAATATTTAGGATTCCTAAACACATGTTTTTTTAACATTGAGGTTAATCACAACAAGGTTGCTAAGGAATTAAATAGTTTGATTTGTGTAACAAGTGGCCAATTATAAAATGTCACATTGTTTGAGATTTAGAGGAAAATATTTTTCATTTAAAGTTGATGTGATATAAATCATACTAAAGATGAATGTGATTTATTGATACAACTTTTTTTTAGAAAGTGATTTATTCACACGAAAACAATCCCCGACCCCTCGAATCAACTGGCTTGACACATAATGAATGAAGATCCACACGCTCTCTCTGTCATTTTCTGAGATTCTCTGCTCTCTTTCATATGCTCCTTTCTTCTCTCTCTCAAACTCTCCACTTTCTCTCTTGCCCTTGCCTCATCACTGTTGACGCATCAATTAATCATAAATCAATGAGTAATATTAGAGATTCCAAAAGTTTTATTAAAATTTTTATCAAATGTCTTACATGAGTGTAGAACCTACATCATGTGGGTTCCATATGGTTGGGATGATCTAAATAAAAGTATACTTTTGTAGTTAAGCCCAAACAACACACAATGTAGAAATTTTAGTAGAACTTTTGAAATTTCTAACATTTTTTAAATCAATTGATCTTTCACCAAGCAACAACTCATGCAAACAAAGGCATAAAAAGATCTCAGTTTATATGAAAGGGTGATTAAAAATATTACCCTTTTCTATTTAAAAACAAAAACCGAAAAAATCAGTTTACTTTTTTAATCTCATTTTTTATGAAAAATGTAATTGAAAATGTTATGTTTATTTTTTTAGAGAAATTTTAATATACACCACTTAGGGTTCGTTTTGTATAATATTTTGGAATAAAATAGTCGTACAGGGCAAAATAAGTTATTTTAGTCAAATAGAATAAAATGTCACATCTAACTCATAATCATTTTAGGATTAATTGCACTAATAGTCCCTATAGTTTGGAACTTGTGTTACTTTGGTTCCTGACTTTTCAATTGTAACACATTTGACCCTGAATTTTGAATCTTGTTTCAAAGAAGGACAATTGAAAATATCATCAGATTTTTCAAGGGTGAAATCGTTAATTTGATAAAATATAAACTAATTTGACAAAAATAAATGTCAAAAAAATATTTTTAATTTTTTAAAAATTATTTTTATCCACTAATGATAAAATTATGTAAAATTAATAAAAATTACATGATTAATTTTTTTAAATTAATTTTACATGATCATTATCCAAACATATAATAAAAATTAATTTGGTAACAAAAATAAATAAATGTCTTAAAGATTTATCAATTTTATATAATTTTATTCTTAGTGAGTAGAAATAATTTTTAAAAATTCAAAAATAATTGTTTGATATTTATTTTTGTCAAATTAGTTTATATTTTATCAAATTGACAATTTTACCCTTGAAAAATCTAATGATATCTTCAATTGTTCTTATTTGGAACAAGATTCAAAATTCAGGAACAAATGTGTCACAATTGAAAAGTCAGGGATCAAAGTGACACAAACCCCAAACTATAGGGACTATTTGTGAAATATGCCCATCATTTTATTTTTTCTTTTATAAAAGTTAAAAAAAACCAAAACCTAAGTCAAATGAGACTTTTTAACCCCAGATTAAAATAACTAAAAAATCAAAAAATCAAAAAACTAACCCCCATTCTAAACAAGATCATATGCACTGTAGTTTTGTCATTTTTTTAATTATGACTAATTTGCTTATTTAATTATCATATTATTTTAGTTATGATTCATAAATTTTTTAGCTATGTCTTGTTTAATTATGATATATATATATATATTTTAAATTATGAATTAAAAAATTAAAATTATTATTTTTCATTTATTTATTTTTTTAAGTTATATAGTGCACAGCATATCAAGGCAATTTGAGAAATTACTAGGCCTCGTTTGAGAACAGACTAATTTAGTAACTTTTTGATTATTTGGTTAAAATATGAGTTAAAAAAAATTAGTATGTTTGAGATGACTTTTTAACTTTTTACGAAAAGATGTGCAAAAAGTAAAGAGAAAAGAGAATATTTAACTTTTTGACTTTTTTAACGATTTTTTGGCTTTTTGGCTAAACGGGTGGCTTCCGAAACCAGGCGAAAGAACTAACTTTTAGCTTTGGTAGTGCTGCATGTATCAATGTACCAATATTAATTATGACATTATTATTGACCACACTTATTAATCATATTACAAATACTAAAAATCCTTTAAATTATACAATATCATCCATTGATATACTAATTAATACATATAATATTATTCCTTTAGCTTTTACACGTTTTAATCACATCATCCATTACATATTTTTACAAAAAAAAAAAAAAAAAAAAATCAAAAATCCAACTTTTAACCAACCTCCCAATTCATCCATTGTTTCGTTATTTTCAGTTCTTATCCATCACAGTTTTTTGATAGATTCTACTCGACTCCGACTCTGGACTCTGGACTCTCGATTCTCGACTCTTGACTCCGCGACTTCTTGCAACAATGGTGGGTTGATTGATGAAAATCACGTAGTCGTTTAACTCTCTCTATCCCCAATTCGAGTAGAAGATTTTGATAGATTCACGATCGGTAAGCATTTTATCTCTCTTATTCGATTTCTAACTCTCTATTTCATTAATCGATTGAACAAAACGAGGAGATTTTTTAGTTTTTCTTGCTAGGGTTACGGGCTAGGGCTTGGTTTCCTTCTCTTGGCTCGATTTCTATCTCTCTCTAGATTTAATTAAAGGACTCTATAGATTAAGGACTGTATAGTTTCATTTACTCAGAATTCTTCGTATTTTGATCATGAATCGAATTGTCCTTGTTATTGTGAATGGCAATGTTACAATTGTTTAATTATTCTTAGTTTCAGAATCATAGAACATTGTGTTAAAAGTTTGATTATTGCTTTCTGAATTGCTGGTATTGTAATCTCCAACTTTGGGCTGCTTGTAATTGCTCCTTTTTATTTTTATTTTTATTTTTATAATTAGCATGGAATATAAGGTGAACTACTTGTTGAGGATATTTTTTTTTTTGTCTGTTTCGATGTGATTAGACTTCTAAACTGACTGTTACTTTGTGACTTTAAAGTCAGAATCTTGAATAATAGAAATTTCTTTTACTTGTTAAAATTGTAATTCCAATATCAATAAAATCCTGCTCTACATTCTGGAGCTTGAGTAAGAGTACTCGGATGGTTGCTGGTAAGCTGGATATGGTTGTTTAATCAGCTTTGGGGTTTGAGAGATTTACTGAGATCGGAAGTTTTGGGAAAAACATATCCTTCCTTTTTATATAATAGGGCTCTTAGGGGCATTAGTTATTTGGCTAGGTCCATGTCAGAGACACAACTAAAATTAAAGTATGTTTTTTTGTTGATACCTATTTTAAGATTTACTTGTTATTGATGTTTTATTTTTATTTTTATTCTAAAACCCCCCCCTTCAGGGATTGCATGTTTAGTTCATAATACACATTTTGAATGTACGCATGACAGGGTGGGACTTGAAAATTTCTCGAATACGCTGCTTGCAATTGGCTTTGGACTACTTGAAATTTGAGGAGATTGAGAAGTAAGATCCTATATTATATGTTTGCTTCTTCTTCTTCTATATTAGTTTTTAGGGGAAGTTACAAAAAAACCTCAAGGTTTGACCATTGTAACAAAATAAACCGTGACTTTTTAATTTTGTCAATTTAAACCTTCAACTTTTGATTTATTTTCAATCTGAACCATTTTTCTATTAAGTAAAATTGATGGAAAAATGAGTATTTTAGTCATTAAACTTAATGAAAATGGGTATTTTAGACATTTTATATATACTTATATTGAGTTTAATAATTAAAATACTATTTTTTTCGTCGATTTTAGTTAACAAAAATAAGCAAATTGTTTAAATTGACAAAATTAAAAATTCCGGGTTTATTTTGTTATAAGGGTCAAATCTTAGGGTTTTTTTTGGTAATTGTTGCTAGTTTTTATTTTTTTCATTCGATACAAACTTGAATGCCAAGGTTTTAAAGGAAGGTTGATTTCGACAAGTGTGAGGAAACACTCTTCTATGAGTTTTGGTGCCAAAATGGATCTATGGAAGCAGTAGGAATACTCTTTTTAGAGGCTTATTGTAATCCCATTTTTGTGGCTAGTGGGCAGGAAGTATGAATGGTAATGATATGGAGGAGTTGAGCTAACAAGACATGTTTTTGGTGGCTGTAAGAGGATTTTGATTTTAAAATTTGAAACTTCAGATTTTTACTGCTAAAAGCGATATATTAAAACCCAATAACATGACTTGATCCAAAGTATGAACCATGTGTGATCAATAAAGCCCATGTGTAGAAAATCCATAAATATTGAAAATACCCCTGGCTCAAAAATTATAGAAAACAAATAAAAAACTAACCTGAATAAAAGTAACACATTAATCTCCTGCTTTCCATCATTTTGAATAACCTGAATATTGAGATATGTCTTTTTGATTTTCTCAATCTGTTGCTTTTCTTGCATACCACATGTTTTTCCCAGGTTATGACCTCAGTAAATTTTCATGACAGTGACTGACATGTATTCACACATATTTGTTTGGACATAGTTATTAATGTGCTACATTGGAATGGGCTAGCCCTTTCTAAACGTATCCCACAAAACTTGGAAAGCTGTCCCTTGTAGTATTTTTTCAATATTTTGTCTTGGGAAGTTAATATTGCTCTTAGTGAATATATTGCATTAATGAAAGTTGATGTAGTTTAATTCTATCATCACTTTGTGAGGAATGAATTTGTAGCTTAATCAGGTGGTTAGACTATGCTATGATTTGTTAAACATGTAAATAATATTTCAGAATAACTCCATTATTGGTTTCTGGTTGGGCAGCCCTTCTCCCTCCAGCCTTTTTTATTCTTGTAAATTCACATTATACCTACAATGTCAATTGAATCAAATTGTAATGACCCGAAATTTAGTTTTAAAGCATTTCACAAATTAATTGAATGGTTTAATGGACCATGTGGTTAGTGATTGTTTTAATTTTAAAAGATCATTTGTAGAATAGTTTATGATGATTGAAACAAAACTTTTAGTTTATGATGATCTGAAATTTCAATTTGTATCTCTTGAATTAGAGATCTTACCTTTATGAATTTTTAAAAATAGTCTCACAATTCAGAAGCTTATGAAGTTTTTATACAAGGTTCATATATGAGTATAATAAACTTATTAAAAATTTTAGATCAAAACTCTTACAGATGAATTCTATAAAATTCTTGGACCGATTGGCATTCGGATTGGGTGCTGTGCAGATTTTCCTCGTAAAAATTTTACGATTTTGTATTTTTTGAAATAGTTTCTCTTCTCAGAAAATTGTTAAATTTTTATATGTTATTCCCATATAAGTCTAGTACATTGGATAAAATTTTCAGAGTGAAAGAATTTGTATTTAATTTTAGAAAATTCCCGACTGATTGGTGTTTAGTAGATTGCCATAGCCAAGTTTTATGCTCTCCAATTTCAGTTTTGTGTTGGTTTTGAGTGTTAAGACCCTAACTTGAGATAAAGTTCGTTGGATCTAATTTAATGCATAATTAGGCCATATTTACTTCATGAATGAGAATTTAATACAAGATCCATAACTCAAAAACTATTTTTGAGACCCATTTATTTGTCGATCACTTAGAAAATGAAAGAAAGAAACTTGTCCTTTTTCCCAAGCTTGTTTGCTGGCAGCACACAGCCCCAGCATAGACGTCCTCTTCCGGCAACATGATTTCTTTACAATAACTTAAAAGGAGTAGTAAATTATTTAGAAGCTGTTTTTGTCCCATCTCCACACTTGGTTTGCCTATATTTTCTTAAAAACCAAATGGATGGTAACGAGAATTGTTTTGTTACATGTGTATGTGGATTTGTTTGAGCTGTCAGTAGTATCAGTTTGGGTGGAAAGTCAAGTTCAAAATCTAGACTTCCTTTTTGCTCAGTTTCTCAGCCACCAAAAATAGCCCTCTTTCAATAATCTAAAAGTAAATAAAAAGATCAAATTTTTAAGTAAATGGTTTCTCATTTGTGTGCCTGGGTTTGCAAAAGGAGAAAAACCTCACCATATCTCCATATAACATTGATAACATCAAAACAAAAATAGACAAAAACATTGCCACACCACAAATCCTTCCCATTCAAAACCCAAAAACTCAACTCTTTTTTGCTGCATATATGTCAAAGTAGAAATTAGTTATAAGGAGGTATTTGGGAAGTTGGCTAGTTTAGCAGGCCATTTTAGTTTTTTTGCTATTTTAGTAGGCTAAAATAGTTGTGTTTGGGAAGAGGGTTGGATTTTTTTGTAATTAGATGTAATATTTGTGAGAGAAAAAGTGAAATGATTATGGATTTGATATGACATCTTATTGACTATTTTAGCCTATTTTGTCTTTTAGAAAAAGTGAAATGATTTTGGTCTCGTACCGAGTCACGAATTGAATCGAATCGTGAATCATAAAATTCGGTCACTTTTTCTAAATTACTTAGAAAAATATATTTATATACTTGAATGTTAAGTATATCTTATGAATATGAAATATGAAATATTTAGACTTAAATTAATGAAAATGTTATTTTAAATGATAATTATGTAATTTAACAGGTAAGAAGTTAACAAAGGCTTCTATATAAGATCAGCATTTTACCTTTTTTCGTTTTTAGATTTTTCTTATCAATCATTCTTAATATAAACTAAAGACAAAATTTCAATTTCCAAAGTAATAATAATTTGACAACAATATTAATAGTTGGACAATAAGCATATGTATTTTTTCAAGTAACAATGACCAAATAATAAGAAAACATTATTTAGGATCTTTTATTTTAAAGTCTAAAATATTTTAAAATGTATAACTAACCTCACTCATATAATATTCAGCTATATTTAATTCAATAAAATAGCCATAGATAATTTATGGTGTACATTACTTTAATCTTAAACATTTTTAAAAGATATATTATGATTTTTTAAAGGAAAAAAATGAGAAGAAAGGTTAACAACATGTTGGGTATGACTGAATCTGATTAGATTCTATTGAAAACTCTATGATCATTAAAATAACAACAAATCATATATATGTTGGCTATTTTGGTGCTAAACGCTATGAGAAGTTGTATTATGTCATTTTCAAGAAAAAGATAGAGAAATAAAGGCTTTGTTTGGTAAGACTTTCTAACTATGATTTGAGAATATGAGTTGTATTTTGAGTTTATGTGTTTTGAAATTATGATTTGAGTGTAGAAAATTTATTTGGTTATGATTTTTGCATAGAGTGTTGAATTGAGTGTGAAATTGAGTTTTGAAAGTTTGATTTGACATGTGAAGTAAGAAAATTTGTTTGGTTATGAGTTTTAGAAAGAGTTTTCAAAACTTAATTCAAATTGTTATAACTCATAACAAAAACACTACTTTTACAGTATTGAAAATTCTGATCAACACTCATAACTAAACTCTTTTTAAAATTCAATTAAAAAAATTTATTATTAACAGAAAATAACATTAATCAATTTTTTAATTGAAAATACTACAAAGGAAATAATTGTTTTTGAAAATAAATATTCAAAAAATTTAAATCATAAATATTTAAATCATTTAAATAATCTAAAAAATTTAATAAGTAAAAAATTAAAATAAATATTCAAAAAATTTAAATATTTAAAAAATTTAATAATTCAAAATTTTAATATTTTAAATTTAAAAACAACTCTACACTCAAATCGTAACTAAACACATAAAACAAAACTCAATTAAGAAATTATTTTTAAAACTCATAACCAAACACATAATTCGAAACTTCATACTATTTTTACAACTCTACACTCAAATCGTAACCAAATACATAACAAAAAAAATTAAAATATTTAAAAATATTTTTATAAAATAGAGTTTGAATTTATTTTTAACAAAATTAAAATATTAAAATATTTAAAATATTTAAAATCTTAACAAAATTAAAATATTAAAATATTTAAAATATTTAAAAAATTAAAATATTGATTTGAATTGAGTTTTGAAAAGAATTTTGAATTATGTGTTTGGTTATGAGTTTTGAAAAGTAATGATTATGTTTTGAATTGAGTTTTGAGAAATGGGCGTAGAATTATGATTTGAAAACTCAAAACAAACACCACACTCAAATCAATGGGTGGAACTATAATTTGAGAGGCTTACCAAACGGAGCCAAAGAGTCAAAAATATGTCAGATACGGTAGTTTCAAGAATTGCATGAATTGTAAAAAGTATATTGAATTGTGAATCGATTGTGAATCGTGCAAGTCACTAGAGATTCACTTCCGAAATAGATTCATTCAAAGATTCGTATTGATTTTGCAAAAATTGTGAATCGAATCGCGAATCGCAAATCGTAAGATTCTGATAATAGATTATAAGTACTCATCATAGCTTCACTTCTTTTTGTTTAATAAATAGATAGTTTTTTGGTTGACTTGATTGATTATATTTTTGTCACTCCAAGTTTATAGAGAGAATTGGTGCCCTTGATTGCTTGAGCTAATCATGATGTCATTGTTTTATATGAAGTTGAATTTATCAACGGGCAAGGTCGTGTCAACAGGTAAACAAACTTTTCTACTTACTCAATTTAAACTTTTCTTCATTATTATTTAAGTGCTTTTATTGATTAAATGTTTGACACTTTAGCAAATTAGTACATGTGAATCAGGGAGTCTGTGGGTAGTGAAGAGGAGTTGTTGCATGCGACACAGGTTGATGAGCAGGTGTATCTCTTTCACGTTGATATATATATACATGTAGACAGTCACACACACGATGAGGTTAGGGGTGAGTCTACTGAAAACCCATAGTGGTGTTAGAGGTTTAGGGTGAGCCTACTGAAAACTCGGATATGTTATATTTGTTGTGTGGGTTACTGGTAGAGGTTGCGGTTGAACCTATTGAAAACCCAGATATATTGTTTTATCAACATTATTGTATCAAGCTTTGTGATATTGGTTTAAAAGAACTTTGAAAAAAGGCCTGCCATATAGGTTTTACTAAAATTCATTCAAAATGGATAAATCTTGGATTCTCAACGATAGAAGATCAAAAGACTGATTTATGCGAATGATCTTCAATCCATATGATGTCCATGTAGTGTATGTGAACTTGTTTAAGAGATTAGAAATCATCTATTTGTTAATGGCATTGATCAAAGTTACTTCAAGTGGATATGGCATGGAGAAGAAGTAGCCACTAGTGGGGCAACAACATTTGCACAAGATGTTTTTGATCAACAATTTAACCGTCTCCCTTAGGCGATGTACATGAAACAATAGAAATGGTTCAAGATGCATGCAATCATTGTACAACTGATCTTGAAGAGTTTAAAAAATTGCTTGAAGATGCCGAAAAACCATTGTATCTTGGTTGCACAAAGTTTACGAAGTTATCTGCATTAGTCAAACTGTTTAACTTCAAAGCTAGTAGTGGGTTGTCTCAGACGGGTTTTTCAGATATACTCACATTGTTGGGTGACATACTACCAATCAATAATGAAATACCAGTATCCATGTACGAGGTTGGAAAGACCTTTGCTGCAATGGGAATGAGACACGAGAAAATATATGCATGTCCCTATGATTGAATACTCTATAGAAAGGAGTACAAAGATGCAAATTCTTGTCCGACATGTAAAACATCAAGGCGGAAGTTAAAGAAGAAATCAACTGAAACAAGAAAGGGTGTGCCAGCAAAAGTTTTATGGTACTTCTCGCCTATCCTGAGATTTCAAAGGATATTCCAATCAACACAAATAGCAAAGTACTTGACATGGCATACTCACCAAAGAGATTTTGATGGCAAACTAAATCACCCAATAGAATCTCTATCATAGAAGTTAGTAGACCACAAGTGGCCAGATTTCGCTACAAAGCCAAGGAACCTTCGGCTAGCTATTTTTGCAGATGGAATAAATCCATGTGGGTTCTTGAGCAGTAGGTATAGTTATTGGCCAGTCATAATGGTTACCTACAATCTTCCACCATGGTTGTATATGAAGAGAGAATTTATAGTATTATCATTGTTGATATCAGGTCCACAATAACCTAGTAATGATATTGATGTTTTCTTGGCACCATTGATTGATGATTTGAAGATGTTATGGGAAGTAGGCATTGAAGCTTACGATGCTTACTGACAACAACACTTTAGGTTGAAGGTTGTATTATTATGGACGATAAGTGACTTTCCAGCATATGGCAATTTTAGTAGTTGTTCTGTGAAGGTATATTATGTGTGTCCAATTTGCAATGATGGAACGTATTCCCATATATTGAAATGCGTTAAGAAGAACACATGCAAACCACAAAATTTCTTCCATGCTATCATCCACATTGAAAGCAAAAGAAGGGTTTTAATGGTGAACAGGATTTTGGATTGCTTCCATTATCATTAAGTGGAAAGCAGATACTTGAGAAAGTTGAAGGGATTATACCTAAATGGGAAAGAAGAATAAAAAATCATTGGATGTTGGCACTACAAATTGTTGGAAGAAGTCGATATTCTTTGATCTTAAATATTGGAAATACTTGCATGTTCGACATAACTTGGATCTTATGCACATTGAGAAGAATGTGTGTTGGCATCGTTGGCACGTTGCTTCATATTCTAGGAAAAACAAAGGATGGAATTAATTCTCGCCTAGATCTTGTGGACATGGGTTTACATAAAGATTTGGCACCACAAATTGGAGAGAAAAGAGCATACTTGCCTCTGACTTGTTATACATCGTCTAAGTGAGGGGAAAAGAAAGGTTTGCGTGTTGAATATAGAAATCAAAATATTATGTTTGAATATGGAAATTAGAATATGAATTGGAATAGGAATTATTTTGATTATAGGAATCTTACCTTGTGTATATTGTTTCCGAAATTGTATCATGAATATATTATATATACAAGACCTTTACCTAGTTGATTGGTGAGCCAAATAATTCTTTTTATTTAATTTGGTATCAAAGGTTGGTTGGGCCTGTGATTGGTGTGTCGTTTGTCCGGCTAGTGTATATTGTGGTTCAGGAGGGTGTGTTGGAATGTGTCCCATATTGCCTGAAGTTGTCCCATCTGTGTTAATTATAAGGTTTCAATTTCCCTTTCCTTAATACTTGAGTTTTAAGGAGAAATGTGGCTTAGGCTTCCCTATTTTTTGGTATCAGAGCCTCCCTAACCGTCTCTCTCTCAACCACCCATCACTACTGGCTGCCTTTTTTTTTTTTCTTTTTCCCTTCCCTCTAGCCTCCGACAGCCCTTTCCAACTCCTTTTCTCCCTCCAACAATCTTAGTCCAGCCTCAACCTAGCCTTCGCAGCCCCTCTCCTTCCTTGTCTTGACCTGGGTAGGCCTTCTTTAGGTGGTCCATGGCTGTTCTTTTCCCCTTGTTGGGTTGATTGGACTGATGTATTAAGTCTCTTTGTTTGTCCTTTTATTCTTTTGGGCTACTGAGTTTATTCAACAACATCTATTTAGATAAGCTGTTGAGTTTTTTTTTTTGGCTTCTTATTTTTTCTTGGACTGTGTTGCTATGTTTATATGTCTTTTAGCCCCTCTTCTTCCACCATGACTGATCCATCATTTGCTGATATACCCACCTAGCCTGTTCCAATTAGTTCTGATTTTTCTCTTTCTCATCACACTTTTGGTTCTCGGGTTCTACTGGTTCAGTTATTTATTATTGTGGCGTTTCTGGTCATGTTAAGGCTCGTTGCTTCAAACTGCATCCTGAGTTGAGGCAACGTTCCTTTCGCCCCCGTGGTGCTGGCACCCCTCGTACTACGGCTCTAGTGGATTCCGCTACTCCTGCTCCTGGGTCTCTTCATTTCCCTAATTTACAAGAGTTACAGACTCAGATTGGTCAGCTTTAGTCTTAGCTTGGATCTGTTACTGCCAGTTCTCCTGACCTCTCATCTACCACTGTTGCCACCCTTGCAACAAGTATTTCTACTGCTTTCCATGTTCGGTGTGCTAGTCCCTCATGGGTTCTGGATTTTGGGGCTAATGATCATATGACGGGTGAGTTTTCCTTTCTTTCTTTGTCAGTCCCTACTACTATTGCCCAATCTGTGTCTTGTTGATGGTTCGTTATTCTCTGTTCGTCGTAAGGGTGTAGTGTCTTTATCCCCTACTATTACTGTATCATCTGTTTTACATGTTTCAAATTTTGCATATAATCTCTTATCTGTTAGTCGTTTTGTCACACAATTTAATTGTGCTATTATCTTCTACCCTCCTCTTATCTTTTATGGGGCCTGAGTTCGAAGAGGATTTTTGGCAAGGGCTATGAGCGTGATAGGTTGTACTACTTTAGAATTATGGTACGCTCGTATGGGTCATGTTAATTTTCAATATTTATGTCAACTTTTTCCTTCATTTGATAAAGCTTGCAAAGATTCTAAGTTTTATTGTATGGTTCGTGAGTTGTCTAAGCATACCTATAATAGCTATATTCCTCATATGATTCGTGCTCCTAGTGTTTTTGATCTTGTACATTCTGATGTCAGGGGCTTTTCCCTATCACTTCTTTTTTTGGTCATAGATATTATGTGACTTTTGTTAATAATCACACTAGGTGCACTTAGGTTTATCTAATTCGTCGTAGGTTTGATGTCTTTCCCTTTTTGTCCAATTTTTGTAGATGGTTAAAACTCAGTTTCATGCAGTTGTTAGGACTATCTGTTGATAATGGTGGGGAATATATTTCTAATGTATTTCGTTCCCATCTTAATTAACCCGGTATTCTTCAACAACTTGTCCTCAGATCCCTGAAAAAAATGGTGTTGCTGAATGCAATAACCATCATATTATGTCAAGGTTGTTAAAATTGGGATCCCAGGTAGGATCGTTGGGAGGGACTAATGGATCAGATTGTAGAATCGGATTGAGAATCATAAGATCCTACTTTTAATGCAAAATAAAATGAAAAATTATCAATAGTGATAAATTTTGTTACATAATTTTAAAAAGATAAAAGAAAATTGATAAATTTGATATAATGTATATTCTATGTTAACATAAATTAGAGAAAACATTTGAAAAATGAGTTTATAGTCAAATTTTTTGTATCGATATACACATATATATAAGAAATAGATAGTAACAAAAAAAATTAGTAGGATTGAGATCAAAGTAGAATCGGGATCATATGCGATTCTACATCATTTTATGACTAAGATCGTAGTGACTTTAAGATTCTACTAAATTTAAGATCCTAGTGTGATTCGGATCGTTTGGCCCAACTGGATCGGATCGTTTGGCCCAACTGGATCGTACAATCATAAGATCCTACGATCCGGATCGGGATTCTGCTAACCATGTATTATGTCTGTTGTCCAGTGTCTTCTTCAAGGTATGGGTGTTCCTAAGTCTTATTGGCATAGGGCTGTCCTTCTATGTTACATGGACTCGGCACTTTGGGACGAAGTACCCGTGTCGACACGACACGACACGGGTGCGGGTGTGGGATCTGTGTCAGATTTGCCTCTCCTCTCTCGGACACGGCTAATCAAAAAGGAAGAAGGTTGAGATACTTACATTGATGTATGGATTCAAGATCTTGATCGTGT